GACACATTTGGGCCCTGTGTGGGCTCATTGTGACATGTTTGTCTCAGTTACAGCTCTGGCAAATGTTATGTGGAGTGCATGTGGCCCAAAAGTCACCAGGCTAGACAAGAACACAGCAGTGTTTTGTGGCCCAGATGTGGCCCAAATGCCACTACATAGCTATACATATAGGGTGGACCTGAGGCTGAGCTGAGGCTGAGCTGAGTCATCGCGAACCAACAATAACTGCAGATATGGACCACTTTTGGTCCAAACATTGATTGCTATAAATGATCAAAGCACACTGCTTTCCTCTGTCAGGCTATTACTTGTTTGTTTGTTATCAGATGGGATCGATTTGATATGTTTTGATATTTTTCTGCACCACAGAAAAAGACGTTTTTACCCATTTATATATTCCCAGGCTTTAAGACCTTAGGAAGAGCTGGTTCATAAGACCAGCAAGCTAAACAAGGGCGGGGTGGATCAAATTAGAAAGCTGCTAAATGCCAGCTTTGTGATCACAGAGTGACTTGGTACTACAGCAAGGGAGCGGTCCGTATATAATGAGCATGTACTGAGAGCAGTGATGAAAGGGCTCGAGTCGAAGCAGCGGGCTGCAGGAGTGGATTCACTCTGATGTAGGTTAAGTTTGCTCTCTCTCTGTGTTCCTGTCTCTTTCACATGTGCCATCCTTGAATTTCTGTCTCTCCAGCTCATTTTTATTCCGTCAGACGATGTCACCTTTTCAGCTCCTCCGTTACCTTACCTCTTCCTCTGCACTCTCAGACATCTCTCAAATCCCTTGGACTGCTTTTACTTTTGATCTGTTCATCTGTTGCTTTTTCACTTTCTTTGTCTGTATCGCTGCATTTCAAAGTAGCGGGTACACACTGCATTTCTAATATTTTTTTCAGAACTGGGTAACCAAATTGTCCTTTTCTTTCATATCACCTTTCTTTTCTTCTCTTTCTCACTCAGGTATTCAAAAACTCCTTCTTCGCCACCAGCACAGAGCTAACTGACTGAACTTGGGTCTGCAAAGGCAGGAAAATATTCGAAAGGACAGAGTGCAGCTGTGGTGGTGCCGGTAGACAGGCTGTGTCGGGGCATTAAATTGAAAGGAACATTTTGGGATCTGCTTGGACACAACCACAAACACACACATACACACACACACAGATGGGTGCACTGAAACACACTGAGTGGTGGTTTGGAGACAGTGTGGGAGTGCATACGCCTCCATTTCCCAAAATAACTAGCAGATGAGGGGCAGGGAGGCAGGGCGAGGTTGGTACAGGGAGATATAAATGGATGCTAATTGTATAGCTCCTTCGGATAAAGCTCAAATCCAGCAGACTCATGCACAAACGCACACTTTCTGAGCTTCCATGCTTGCGTGTGAAAATTATCCTGATCATACAGAGTGCGTAAGAGCTTTGACACTCACACACTGTCATGGATGGCAGTTTTAAGGGGAGTACACACACACACACACACACAGATTAAAGCAGATATTAACTGTATAGCTTTCCAAATCCAACCCAAAGTCCCTTGTATAATTTCTATGAAATCCATCCCAAAATAGAGGTCAAAAGAAGTGAAAAAGAACAGATTATTTAATAATTTCTTTTCTGAGACGATCCATTAGTGTATGAAAGGCTTTGGATGTTTGTCTAAACTTGTAAACTCACATTAGCTCCATTTGGATACACTGAATCAGAGAATGCTGCATCACATCGCTTCAAATCACATCACAGTGTCCACAGAAACAGTTTGTTCCTCCTGTTCAGGTGTCATTTACTGACTCTGCAAAAACAGACTGATGGAAAGATGGAAAGAGAAGAATGATGTAAAGGTGGAGATGAGGACTAGAGGCAGCGTTACATTTTTTAAAACAAGTTAAAGGTTAATAATTACATGGTTGACTTTTCTGTGTTGATGATGATGAAGTGCAATCCACATGGGACATTGAGCCATATACAGGTTTGCTCAAGGCCAGGCTTTCACATTATCAGTTCTCTGACAGACGCATTATTGCTGAAGCCATAGATATGCAGGAACTCCCTCTGGAGCTGTAGTTACACGTAGGATAACAACAGTTTATGCCCATTACTTTCTCGACTTAAGTTGCAGCTCAGTTTGTAGTCCTGCCTCCCCACCTGGTGCTCTCACAGGGAATAGCAACAAATTGCTGTCAGTCCTCCCTGCACTTCATTTCAGGAAGGAGAAAAGAAAAGAGCATTTTTCATCATAAATGTAATTTAAATGACTATGGAGTTACTTCTACCTGCTCTTTATAAGGCAAAGTTTGTATTGTATTTATAGTCATATTAATCAGATACAGTAAATGTTTAATCCACTGCTGAATTAGCATGTTTGTTCACTTAAATGCTCACTTAAATTAAACGGTCTCAAATGTTTGTATTAGTTTCATTTTAATAGAAAGAGACAGAATATCAACAAAAAAATCTAGAAAAAAACATTACATTACATAAAAGTTATAAATTTATTTGCATGTCATTGACTTAAAATGAGTATTTGATCCCCTATAACCGAGCCCGAATTCTGGCTCCGACACAACAACTCTGTTAACTCAGCCATTTACAGATACTCCCAATCTCAACTCATTATATAAACTTATGTCTGTCCACAGAATCAGTTTCTTCTGTTGCAACCTCTCTTCCAGACCGATTATTTGGAAATGGAAAGATCAGTCACCCTCAGTTTGGAGCTCCGTGATCCAAAAATCTTGGATCTTAGATCATGGGGTGACAGTGATTATGAGAAAGGTGTTTGATTAGCCCAAAACTACATGGGAGGAGCTTATTAATGATCTGAATGCAGTTGGGACTACAGTCACCACTGGTAACACATATACCATAATTGAATTCATAACTGAAATTTTGCAGCACCCGCAAAGTACATGCCTGTCTTACGTTTTAGCTCGACCTGCCATGTTTGAAGAAGCTGAAATGCTGAGTATTACCTGAAGAACACCATCCCTACAGTCAAGCATGGAGGTGGAAATATTATGATTTAAGGCATTTTTTCTGCTAAGGGGACAGGACGACTTCACTGCATTGAGGGGCCAGCGGATGGGGGCACGTACCATAAAATCTTGCCCAAGAACCTTTTTCCTTCAGCCAGAATACTGAAGAAGGGTCATGGATGAGTTTTCTGGCATGACAGTGACCAAAAGCATACCGCCAAAGCAACAAAGGAGTGGCTAAAGATGTCTGTGAAGGTTCTTAGTGGCTAAAGAAGAAGCACATTAAGATCATGGAGTTCCCTAACCTGATTCCATCGAATATATATAAAATCTGTGGAGCAAGCTGATGTTTCAAGTTCCCAAGCAGTGCAGTGCAAATCAAGAAACTCTAGATGTTCCAAAGTTTTGGTACTTTGATTTAGCAAAGTCATCCTTACCTTCACATGGGTACGTGGAATCATAAGAGGCCCCTGTCTGAAGACCTAAAAACCTGACTTGTAGACCTGGAGTGGAGCAATTTAGTAAAGGTAAGGCCACACTTTAAGGCCATAAAAGTCAGATCCACAGTGAAACTGTGGGTCAGTGAAACTCACTTCTGTCCAGTGACAGTGATGCTGAGGTGAGTTATTGAGGATATCCTGAACCTTTCTGTCTGCTTTTACGCTTTTAGCTGATGCTCGCTGGCATTAGTGAAACTTTCTTTTAAGCGGATCTAACATTGTAAGACTCAGACATTTAGCTAATAAACTCTCATGAGACATAAGAATGTAAGAAAACTTTTTATCATAGGAAAAGGGTCTTTTTTCTTTTTAGGACACTCAAAACTAACATTAGCTGGCATATTAGCTTATATCCAGTTGCTGTTGTCATTTAGCCAGCTGTCTGGAGATGGGAGGGTCACATGTTTAATCTGCTGATGATAATTACTGACAACAATATTGGGAAGTTTGGAGACTCCCTAATCAGTTTTTAATTACCAACAAAATTAAAGATATTTCTTATAAATTAATACACAGAATTTATCCATCTAAAGATTATCTTCAAAGCAAATTCAAATGAGACATTGATACAAGCTGTAGCTTTTGTAAAACTTCCAAGGACTCTACTATGCATCTTTTTTGGTTTTGTAACCTTGTGCAAGATTTTTGGCAGAGCTTATGTTTTTATCTCAGAAAATGTATTTAAAGGATTGGTACTGTTTTGGAAATATGTTTTATTTGGTCTACACAAAAACCAAAGACAATTCAACATTGATAACAGATATATGACTAACTTGTTAATTTTAATGGCTACATTTCATATTCACAAGTCCAAATGTTTAGGAAGACATCCCTCTTTTTATGTATTCTCCTTTGAACTTGTACAACTCCACTAACCCAAAAGCTATAAAAACTATGGGTGTTTGTGAAAAAATAAAGATCTTTCAATCACTTTATTCTTTGGTTTGATCAGTTACTTTTCCCCCTCGCGTGTTTATATCGTAGGTTCTGAATATTGTTCATTTATTTGTTTGTCTATGTTATGCAATCTTTTTTTTTTTTGTAAGTACAACACCATTAATGTGGTACTGTTTAATTCTATTTTGTATTGTACTGTTGTTTAAATAAAGGTTTGAATGAAAAAAAGTATTTTCATTGGCATAATTCTAAGTTCATAAGAAGGCATTAGTTTGTTAGGAGATGTAATGACACACTAATAAATGTATATTTTGTGAGTGCAGCATATTTTTTCCTATTAAACTAAATAAAAAAACAAAACAAAAAACGAATAAAGACTAACTGTAAAATTGCAGTACTTTTAATTTAAGAGCATTTTTTATGCAACCTCGGTATTATTTATTGTGTGGGATTGTAAAAGCGGGACTCTTAAATATAAAGTTTTATTATGCAATTTTACTAGAAATCCAGCAGTTAAAAAAACATGCGGCGGCTCTTGGAGTTAATTGGTACTGCGCATCTACGCTGCATATTACGGTAAGCCGGTGAGACAAACAAAGGCACAGCCCAGTCCTAGCTCGCAACAGTGACGTCAGCGCGCCGCTGCGGTGCAGTGACGCGCGGCGATTGGGTGAGCGCGGAGCTAAAGTGTGCAGTAGAGTAAAAAGACAAGAGGCGGACAACAACAGCTGCGACCGTATGAAGCAAACTAAAGACACACTCGCACTTTTGAGGCTCACACGATAAAGATTCGGGTAAGGAGTCGTTTTTTGTGGAGTCATTTCCTTACAAACGCTGCTAGCTAAGGTTGGCCGGAGCAGCTTCCGCCCTTAAGGAACTTTCTTTTGTCCTCTTCAGTCAACAACAAAACAAGCGAGAGAGTGTGTTTACCGAAGAAGAAGGTGTATTGGTTAATTTAGCAACAGTCAAGTATCAAATCCTTATTAATAACACCAAATACAGGCCCGTGTTGTCAAAACAAGTCTGGTATCTTGTGGGTAGTTAAAGTGAAATACCTTTGGACCGGCCAGTATCAGAGGCATTAAAAAGAAAGATATAGCCCGCTGGGTGTGCTCTGTGGCTGTTCCACCGATACAATGAATTATCCCATTTTACGAGTCTTAGGTATATTTACACATAATTGGGTAATGTGTTATATGACAATAAAATTGCACACTTGCAATATAGCAACTTTTTGCAGTGCAGTCTTCTGTTAGAATAAGATGTAAATTTAAAAAAATAATCAATTTATCATTGTGGGGTTTTTTTCTATATCTGCTTGAAAGGTCAAAGGCAGAGCAACGCCAGTATTAACCTGCTGCGGTCATAACAATATTGATCTGTTATGTGCATGCACTTAAGGACACACTGTCATTTCTTTAACCGTTTTTGTCGTTCATATTTCCAACACCACCCTATCTCTCCAGATGTCAGGATGGCTGCAAACTTCAAAATTTCAGACAGTGATTCAGAGGCATCAGAGGAGGTAGGGGAAGGAGAAAACCAACAGTCAGCAGGACAAGCTCAAGAAAGCAAGCCCCAGACGCTTTCCCTTCCTGTAACCAAAACGACAGGTAGGAACACAAAATAAATTGTCTGATATACGGTGGAATAGCCAACCCCTTTGGACCATATCAACACTTAAAATTGTGCATAATTAGATTTGTGGATTAGTGATAACTCCCCAGCTCACGCGTTCAGATGTGGTCACTTTGCACCCGGTTTCCAAAACAACAGCCAAGGCCACAATGCTTGAGGCTTTCAGGCGATCTCCCACAAACCAGAGGGTGACATCGCTGTGGGTTCCTCTTTCTGTTATGTACAGTTTGAATCACGAGGTAGAACTGGGGGGGAAGCAAGGGATGTCCTTATTACAGTATGATATTAATTTTGGTAAGCAAACAAAAAATAGACTTAAAACACACTTGCTGAAAAGCTGATTGGTTTGTTTGTGTCTTTTAGTACAACCCAACCAGTGGCACGCACTTGGCATGAGGGGTGCAATTATGCGAACAGATTAAAACACTGTTTTTTTTTGTATATGGTTGTAAACATGTTTATAGCTGCAGTATTTATTTTTTTTAACTGTACTTTAAGAGGGCAAGCTGTTGGGACTTGTGCACTGGCTTTACTGTTCAGCCCTGGATGTTGCACCTTGTTGTATGTTGTGGATTAACTGAGCAGAAGTTCTGATGGCAAAACATATATTGCAGCATACGTTACCACAGCCTGCTCTAGATGAGATCCCCCCCACCCCTTTATTTAGCCATTTCTTGGCTGTATCTGTAGAGAAGTTTAGAATATATCCTTTCTCCTTATTTTTCTTGAGATGCATTCTGGGGTGGGACATTAAAATGAGGTTGCGTTGTAAGCTAACCTGTTTTGCATTTTGAATTGCTTCATTCAAAGCACTATAGGAGGATGTTTTGGCTCTTTTTTTTACCGTGCAGCTGAAAAGAGCCAAAATAACAGTGTACAATAACAGTCGCTGGTCGCAGAGACAACTAATGATTTAAATTCCTCTATTCCTACATTACTCTTTATTTCCTCCTTTCTATCTGCCTTTACATTAAAACACTCTGAACCCATCTCACTTTTCCTTTTTCCATTTAGCTGCTGGAAGGCTCAGGGTGAACTCAGAGTCCCACACTTCCTCAATTGCCAGGGATGAGGAGCTCATGGCTAGAGGGGAGGATGAGGTCTGTACTCCCACAGAGGGAGACCCATTCAGGCGAAGGTCAAAGTCAGCTCCCCCTGCTCTGTGGGCTGCCAAGAAGTACGGCAGGCAGCTTCGACGAATGAGTGACGAGTTTGACAGCTTACTAGATAAAGGGGTAAGAATGGGAGTGAGTCAAGGCTTAAATTAGTTTTTTGGGGGAAAAAAGATGGTGATGATAGGTTGCTAACTTGACATTGTTCCTCTTTCACTGTGCAGGAGATGAAGGTCAAGAAGCTGCACCACTCTAAAACCTGGTGGAGCTATCTCTTTAGTCACCAAGAGACTGAAGGAGAGAACAACCATCTTGAAAACCACAACCAACGCACTGAGTAAGCACTGAGAGGACAAGGATACAAGGTCCGGAGGAGCGGATTGGGGAAACTGTAGCCGAGAGACAATATTTAAGATCAGAACAAGACTGAAGAGGATTTGGCTCGATCAAAAAGAGTGGGACGTGCAGTAAAAAGCAAAAAAGTACATGTTCAGTGAATCCCATCATAGTCATGCCATTTTATGTCATTGTTAACTACCTTTAAATAGAACTTTTGTACTCGTGTTGAGTGTGGTGTAAACAATGTTATTGGGAAGTCCACTGTGGAATTGAAAGGCAGTGATGAGGAGGAACTGCTGCCGGAATCCTGCAAAACGGATAAAAAGATGGGCCGAGAGAGGGGCTATAATCTCTTCTAAACACACAAACAAAGCCTTGTTTAGTCGTAGAAGAGACGCTCGGTTTAAAGACGCTTAGCATTACAGTTGTCTCTCACATTGACATTGCACGGTGTGCTGTGTATGGAGAGAGGAATAACACCTGACTACTGAAGGCCAAATTGAATGCTGTTAGATTTTTTTTTTTCCTTCCTGCTTTCCTCATTTTCATGAGGAAATCTCCAGAAGCTGTTCGTGTTTGACTTGCACGCTCATATTGTGCCAAAACGATCTGCCAGCAACAGGAGACAGTACTTTTTTCTTTCTTTCTTTTTGGCATTCGGTTTAGGCCTCTTCTTAAACAACTGTACTCAACTATCATCTGCTTTATATCACAAATTTATCCCAAAAAAAAAAAAGGAAAAATCTTTTACAAGGACAATCTCTGATGCAGAAGTAATATCTTTTTTTGTAAAACTTCAGGGATAATAGCTGAGGGCGTTAAACAGTAAGGCACAATCCAATATGAATATGTTTTTAAAGCCTTGGACGAGCATAAACAAACAATTGAAATTTTTATGTGTAAATATTTTAACATTTTATGAAATGGTAAAGGGTGGGGAGGGGGTGAGTAAGATGGTTTAGCCAGATTTTATTAACGAGGTTACCGTGCTGTTAAGCTCAGCTAACCCAGCAATAGGCAGTGTACAATCCATGGCTGTTGTGATAAATGTTGCGTGCTGAGCTCTCGGTGCATGGGTGAATACAGAGTCCAGTCACATTAAAAATGAGGGATTTCCACTTGCTTTTTGCTTGAAGGATTTTCAGGAGAAATCACATCCTGATGTTTTTTGTTGTTTATTTTGTTTTTAATCAGTTTAAATGTGAGTTGATCACTTTGACCTGTAAGGGGATGTGATTAAAATGGGCTCATAAACTCTCATGCCTTAGCTTTAGAAGTGCTGATCTGATGCCAGCTTTGCTGGTGTTTTTTAGGCACATAAGGCGCATAATATATATGCTTTATGGAAATTCTAACTAAGGGCAAAGATCAGCATTTCTGTGCAGCTCGGTAAACATGAGTGGGCTACTTGTGGCTTGTTTATAAATACGTGATTGCTGAAAATGATAGTGGGTTTGTTCAAGTTGTCTTATTCTTCCTTCCTCTCGACTTGTAGCGTTGAGTTGTGAAGTGCTCGGGTGTGCAGGCATTTATATGGTTTTCAAATTCAAAAATATATATATGCGTATATAAATAGAATATATAGCTTGGTTTTTAATCAGAGAATTCCAGACAATCAAACGGTGGCAACTTTACCTGACACTCATCCTGTTCTACCATCCTTTTGGTCACATGTGTCTTGACTGGTCATTTGTCAAATTTAAACTACTTCCCATTATAAAAAAGGGATGAGGAGTTTTCTGATATCAGATTTCTAGAGACACGAGTGTTTAAGCAAGAAATAGCATTTTGCATTTTAACACGTTAGACCCATGTTATCCAATTGCAGGGAGTGCACACACAGTTTTGAGAACTCTGGGTCAGATTATAAAGCTTTACTCTGCTGAAAATAAAGATCAGATGGAATTTAAATGAATTTAATGTTGCAAAGAACTGCCTTGAACATGCTGTGACCTGTGACGCCGCATAGCCAGCCTCGTCTGTTTACCCAATTACAGCCTTAAACTTCACTGCTCGCTTTCACAAGTTACACTCAGAGGAAAAACAGAAAGCACAAAAATGTCCCGGTGCATTTACTGTCATGAGATTTTTAAGTGACACACGCGTACACTATAAAATGGCTGATGTGGAGTTTGGCAACTCTTTTTGACTTTAAACATCCGTGACAGTGAACACACCCCAAACCTGCCTGGGCACCTGGATTTTTTGCAACCATCCTTAGTATTACTTGAATCTGGAGATGTGTGTGTGGAGAAAATAAAAATTTAATATTACTTTTTTTTTCTTATTTTGGTTTCTTTTTCAGTTTTAATGACTTGTAAATGTATTTTCTCTACAACTGTGAAAACTCTGGTCTAAATAAATAATTTTAAGAGAGCTTTTAAAAGGTATTTTGTTCTTTTAATTGTCCTTACACAGGTTTAGAAGACCTTTGAGTTATGTTCAATGGAGATTTCTGGTTAGTCAAAGATATTAGGCAAAGGAAAGGCAAGAGATTATGAAGAATAAGGAGCAACAGTTAAACTGACAGATATGTAAAAGTTTTCGTTATCCAATAACAAAGGGAAAGGTTCTCACTAAGACATGGCTTATGGTTGACAATAAAGTCATGTGATGGGTGACGTTCCATAGATTTAGAGTTCATACCACAATATGCTGTATTTTTGTCTTGAAATTAACAAAGTGTCGACACAAAACTTGTAACAGCTTTAAAAAAAAACAACCCAACCCCCCCTCCAAAAAAAAAAAAAAAAAAAAACCAACTACCACTGTAAAACTGAAGACAAAAAGGCATCATGGAGGACACAAGCTGGTGTTTCAGGCGACCCCTGACGGATCCCAGCAGTACTTCTGTCCACAGTCCAAAGCTGACAGTCTGTCCATGTCTGCGTCGCTCAGTGTAAAGTCAAAAAGTCTGGCGTTCTCCTGTATTCGGTCTGCGTTTGATGACTTTGGGAGCACAGCGACACCCTGCTGCACCGCCCACCGCAGCAGCACCTGAGGAGAGGGACAGAAGAACCTTAAAATGTTTGCAATAAAAACAAAGGTATACCCAAGATAGCAGAGCGAGTGGGCTCACTTGTGCGGGGGTGCGTTGGTACTGCTTTGCCACCTCCAGGACCACAGGGTCAGTAACCAGATCTCCTTGGCCTAAGGAGGAATATGCTTGGAAACAGACTCCATACTCCTCACAAACACTCTTCAGCTCTGCTTGGCACAGACGTGGGTGAAACTCTACCTGAAGAACACAAAAAAAACCGTGAGATTTCAAACAGCTGCTAATGTCTTCCACTGTCCTCCATTCAAACTCCTGCACTGTACCTGTAGAACTGCAGGGGGGACTTTGCAGCTCTGCATTAGTTCTCTCATGTGAGCCACTGTATAGTTGGACACTCCAATGGCCTTCAGCTTCCCCTGGCCATGCAGCTCCTCCAGCGTGGCCCAACTCTGAGCTCGGTTTCCTGGGATCAAATATTTATTAGGACCTCATCTCTGCCGTTACTCAATGCCTGCTATGTTGCAGTGGAGGAATGAGAGAAGACAGCTTGAATGGGTTTTGTGCAGTTAGTGCAGCAATGAAATATAGATCACTCGAAACACCTGAAAAAAAAAAAATGGAGTCTACCTGGGTTGCTCTGATCAGCCACTGCTAGACCCTGCGTGCCAGGCCAGTGAATCAAATAGAGGTCAATGTAACCCAAGTCCAGCTGAGACAGGCTGTGAAGGGCACCTTCCATAGCCCGCTCACCCTGATCCTTAGGGCCCAGCTTACTGAAACACAGGAAGAGAAACAGGGATCTGAATGAGCAGCGCAACACCTCAAGTCAGCTTTAGAAGCCCCAATGTGTTCTCTTAGAAATCATGTGTCAACTTATGCTTTAGAAGCCTGTGCATCACCTGGTTATGAACACATCCTGTCTGGTCAAGCCATGCTTGTGCAGGAGCTCCCTCAGGGATCGGCCCATGTCGGCTTCATTCCGGTAGACGGCTGCACTATCAAAGGCCCGGTAACCCGCAGCCAGGGCGGCATCCACGGCGCGATACACTTCTTCAGAGCCGTGCAACTTGTAAGTCCCCAACCCCAGGAGGGGCATTTGAACCCCAGTATTCAGGGTAACAGAGGAGGTGGTGGTGGACGACATCCTGGACTGCAAGGCCCTTCTTTACTTTGCACCCTGTTAGGAATAACTGGTTTGCCAAGCTCTATCAAAGACGGATAGAGAAAGTGAGTTTAGCTGGTTTTCTGCTGCCCTTTGCCCCATTTTGTGTGTTACATCACTGGAAAATTGCTTGAAAGCACTTCCTTAAACTTGGTAACAATACAGATTTTATCTTGTTCCACTAGAGACTTTTTGGTGCTTCTCTAACGCAAAATAAGAAAGGCAAGCAACACGAAGATGTAAACTAACATCACTAATTTAGCTGGTCACAGTGTATGAAGACTATGACACTTGAAGAGCACTTTTAATAATTTCTGTAGGCAGACACGTGGACATTACAATGCAGGAAGGGGACGGTATACTCTAATATATAAACAATTTTACGTGAAAAATATTTCCACCCCACCTTTTTTTCACCTCAAGTGACTTCTTTAGGAAAGGCGGTGCATACACTGGCAGTGTCCTCTCAAAGAAATTACTAACAAGTTATAAAGCAAAGGTAACTTCCAGCATGAGCACAGTTTCCTACTACTAGCTACCATATGTGGTCAGCTGACAGTCACGTGACAGTTGGGTCGGTTTTCGCCGTCACCATAGTGACACCTGCTCTGACACTGTGGATTGGAAGAAGACGTGAGGGATCCAACGAATCACAGCAGCCCGAGCGGCCGGAAGGCGGGAATATATCCTGCTCAGCAAATCTCGAGACGAATCAGACGTTTGATTGACGGATACAGATTTAACTGTTCACGGTCTGCTTGAGGTCGGAGATAACCCAGTGAACGAGGTAGCGAATTCGAGGTCGCAATTTTAAGCATTAGACAATACGGTAATTAAAAAAAAACTAAAGCGAGAAAGAAATTTTGTTTTTCTAACATATGTAAGGACAGTACTGCATGTGAAATCTGCCCTGTATAGCTATCTGAACATTTTCTCCCTGCTGTATTTCCTATTGAATCCTCACTATAACAATGAATACATGAATTGGCTAATTTTCTCATTTTATTTCCTAAGCTCATTTAGGTCGACTATGCCGTTGCAGGCCTTCTCATTTCCTCTCCCAGAAACTCGATTCTTTAAAGCAGGGAGTTTCATCTACAAGTTCACGATCAGAGGAGGCTCCAGCTACAGGCAAGGCAGTGTTATACACAGTGTTTCGTACTCAGGCTCTAGTTTGTATGTGTACAGCTCAGAAAAATGAAAGGAAGGCTTTTTAATCAGAGTATAGCTTAATATTAGCTAAACTTCAGCAATATTGATGTGGTCAGTTAAACAGCAGATGGGGTTGTTAATTAGTTTCAGCTGCTGCAGTGTTAATGGAATTAACTAAAGGTTCACAACAACTGGGCGACAATAAGACAACCCCCAACACAGCAACGGTGTTAGAGGGTGGACGTCACTGACATTTTTCCCCTCCTGATCGTTTGTCACTATTTTTTTTTAACTAGTTTTGCATCTGGCTAGTATCACTGTCACTGCTGATAGCATGAGTTGATACCTGGACTCTACAAAAGTTTCACAGGTAGCGAGACTCCTCCAGGATGCCCCGACATTCTCGGGCTTGCATACAAGCACGTAGGGGCCATGCAAATTACTGGGTACCATTTTGAGTTGCTCCAATGAAATTTCGGCCCATTTTCAGAGTTTTTCGAGTTCAGTTACTCTCTAGGTTGATAATTTTCATTTTCAGGAAATTCTGCATGCTTTCATTCTTAATACACGACTCAGTCAATATCAGTATAGTTATCAAGCATCGTAGTCACAGTGAGAGACAACTGTAATGCTAAGCGCCTTTAAACCGAGCGTCTCTTTAGTCTTCTACTAAACAAGGCTTTGTTTGAGATCTGATGTGTTTTCAAAGTGTTCCTGTGATTTTTGTGATTAGTGCGTTTTGCCTCTCTTCAGTATAGAGAATGAACCAACATCACATCCCCACATAAAAAAGCAGAAATAAACATGGTAACAGTCGAATCCTAATTGTGTGCTAGTGAAGACTTTCTTGTTTGCTCGTTTCTTAGTAGTCTTTCTCCAAACCAGAATGAGCTTTACTAGCATTTTCAGCTATGAAATAATTTAACTGTGTCTAAGCCTGAGACGATTCCACTTCCACGTGTATGTCTTCAAAGCAGAGCAAACCTGCAGCACAGCTTCAAATCAGTACACGCGCTGCAGAGAAAGTAAGGATTCAGGTTGCACCTACCTTTTTTCTTCTTGCCACGTGGGACATCCCTTTTCCTTTGATAGTCTAAGTTCTTTAAAGCACTGTAAAATGTTTTCAATCCCCAAATCAGTTGGGGAAACAGCTGCTTTGATGATTTACGTGCTTTTAATGCCACTCTTTATAAGGGTTTCTGTTATATATCACAATATATGATTCCTGGCAGTTATTTTGATCAGCAAAAGAGAAACATATCTCACTGGAGCTGTATGTCTATATTCCAGGATAATGCCCCATAATAAAAGTCTGAGTGATCCTTGATTCTGCCTTAAAGCTATTTTCTGTTATTTGAAATACAACATACATGTTTTTTTTACACATTTAAAGCCCTGCAGCACTTAACCGTTTCTATTTCTGTCAGGACAACTTTAATCAAAATATTCTCACCACAGTGTGTCATATTTGGTCGTACAGTATGGCTCTGCTCTGGTGTCCACCCATACTCTATCAAAGCAGCAGCAGCAGCAGAACCTCAGTGGTAACAGAGGGGGTGGAGGTGGGTTGCAAAGAAGCTTGCAGTCATCGAAAACTATTCATGCTGAAATGGTTTAAATAGCACAGTTCGTATGGGAATTCCAAGCAGGATGGCCAGGTTGATAAAAAGCCTTTAGTGACACGATAGATATTATATTTAACCTTACTGCTTTTGTAATAAGTTGACAACTTCTTTAAGAGAGAAACTTTATGTGAGCATCAAATGGGTGTGTCTCAACAGCCAACAGGATGTTATGGGAGAAGTCGCCTTCAATCAGGAATTAGAGGTAATTGTGGATCCTTCTCAGCACCCATGTGTTCTTTCACACACTGTTCTTTTTTAGATCCTCTTTTCATGTTTGTGCCTCTTCTTCTCTGTTTTAAGGAAATTATTAGAACCGTTCTTGGCAACCTGGATGACCTTCAGCCCTTCTCCTCCACCCATTACATCATCTTTCCTTGTATCCTTCACCTCTGCATCATCTCTGCGTTTAAGCGCCTTTCATCCCTCAATTTGACCCATTATTTCTCTACCTATGCTACTAAACTGATATAATACAGTCCATAGGTATGTAATAAGGATCACAGAAGTCAAAATGTGAATGGTAGCTCCTGCCTGGTGTATTTTGTTAACTGTAGCTGTCAGATAAGAAACAGTGGGAGAGTGTGTGCAAACATGATGAGATGAATCTGAGCATCTACCCTTTCACTCTTATCCTCTACCTGGAGAAAAACATGCAGAACGGTGAGGGCAGCTGCACGTCTGCTGGATATCTTGCAGCTTTAAAGCTGACGTACTAACATAACACACTATAAAGTAAAGGAAGCTTCAACTAAACTGACTTTCACCTTTTTTTTTTTTTAAATTATGTTTTAAGGACAGAATCTGGGAAGAGAGATTTAATTCGTCACCCTTATTTATCTTTTTGTGTCATCAAAAGCAAGATGCAAGCAGAGGCATGGACGAATACTTTATAGAGGTGTAGCAGTTTTCTATTCTTTATTTTATGCCACCTTGTTGCTTCTCCTCTGTCCATCTCTTAAGGATGACTCCACTTCATCTGACAGATAAAATATGTCAAATGGCCCATAAAATATAACAATACATCATAACACAGCTATATTGTGCAATACCTAATATTAACTGTTTTCATTTAAAATTATGGCTCCAAAACAAAAAAATTCTTTCCCTGTTGGTTTACACCTGCCTTCTTTATAACTCATCTTTAAGACACGAGGAAATAAGGGAAGGAATCAAAGAGAGAAAATCTTGGGAAATGAGAACAATGATCAAGGATAGTGTTCAGGGATGATGATATCTCATGTCAGTTTATTTGTGCTCTTTCAGGGTCTCAATCAGTGGAGGTGAGTGGATTATTATGTTACTCACAAGAGTACACGAGAGAATGTTTACATTTTATATTCAAACTATTAAACAAAGAAATATATGTTGCTGTGGTTAGTGCCGAAAAGTTCTGCTCTGAACACATAGTTTAAAGTTAAAATCAGTGACTAGATGAAAGGTTGTATGATGTTTTCCTTATAATATAATAGAGTGCAATCAGGTAATACAACAGTACAGTCGAGCTGGGAAGTCATTGAAGCGTCTTTCTGTAGGAGAATGATGTAAGGCAGCACATCCCTTCCATTCCTGAGCCTCAGTTAAAGAGAGATTCACCACTAGAGGAGGCCATACTAAAGGACTTAATCAATGACACGGAGGCCGAAAACAGGGTGGCAGTGACTGGGTGAGTGTTTTCTCTCTACATACATCTCTCACAAACTGCATTTGCTCCATTTGTAACATTTAAAATTGTCTTTCAAAATGTAAACATTGCATATCTTCAACACTCACCTGGTTCTCTTGTGACAAGTTTTATGCTAATGGAAACAGCAGAAGTTGCACTTGGTTTGAAGTGAAATGGTGAGCTAGTTGAAGGTGGCGAGAGAGCAGACACATAGTTAGCTACTCCCCTAAGTTGGGCATAATAAACCCACCACATACTTTAACAGGCCAAATAAACGTGAGATGATGGGTGGTGGGAATGAACAAAGAAGTAGAAAAACGAACCGGCAGCAATACAAAGCTGTGGTACAACCTGGAATCGTCTTGGAAAGCGAAGATGGCACAACAGAAGAAGTGGACCGCCAAGTTCACAACGAGACACTCCGAGTTTGGCTTGCTACAATCGGTAGAGACATGAAAGACCTTACGCAAGAGCTAAAAACCGAACTAAGCACTTTGAAAGGCAAACTGAAAAGAGAGTTAAAAGAAGAAATTGGTGCTCTTCAGCAGAAACTTGAGCGCGAGCCAACTGAGCATGTAAACAAACTATAGACGTAGAAGGTGAGCCTCACTGAAGCCCGGATGCACATAGCAGATGGAGTTTTATCTTCAAAGCTGATGTTCGAAGCAGGAAAAATGAAAAAGCGTAACAATTTGAGTGAGTCTAACAAGGACCAAACTGTGATGGCTGGATTACTGGGTCAGAACGTCTCCAAAACTGCTGCTCTTGTAGGGTGTTTCCGTCTGCAATGGTCAGTATCTATTAAAGTGGTCCAAAGAAGAAACAGTGGTGAAACAGAGACAGGGTCATGAATGGCCAAGGTTCGTGGGGAGGCTGGCCTGTGTGGTACGATCCAACAGACGGGCTACTGTAGCTCAGATTGTGGGAAAAAGTTATTATTGGTTCTGATAGACAGTTGTCAGAATACACAGAGTATCACAGTTTGTTTGCATAACCACAGACCAGTCAGGGCAGAGCTTTAATCTCAATGTGTAACATACTGACGATGTGTCACACCCCTAGGTGTCACATAGTAACGAGAAAGGTACCCTTCTGTGTCCTTATCAAACGCTTTGTGTTGTCAATTGAATCCAATAGAAA